TATGAGACCTGCGCATGGAACAAGTCAAAACTCGGCTGCATGGACTGTAGACACTAGAGCTGCATAGATCACAAATTTATTGTTACTGCACCATCAGTGTGATGCATCACCATCAAGCTGACACAGTCAGTGTCACAAAGGACTGCAGTAAACCATCAGTCCGTCCGTCCGTCATCTTTTCCCGCTTCTTCCATTTTTGGGTTGCGGGGGTCACTAGTGTCCAGCAGTCACTGTGCGAAAGGTGGGGGACACCTGGACAGTCTCCAGTCCATCACAGGGACACATAGAGACAAACAACCATTCTATCTCTCTCATCTAGGGACAATTTAGAGACACCAGTCAGTCTAACATGCATGATTTTGATCTGTGGGAGGAACCTGAAGAAAACCCACACATCACAGAGAGAACATGTAAACTCCACCCAGAAAGACCCCGGGATGAGATTTGAACCAGGGCGACCTGCTCGCTGAGAGGCAGCAGCTCTACCAACTGCGCCTCCGTGCTGACCTATATATATATACATATATATATATATATATATATATATATATATATACATTAGTCCCTCGCTACTTGACGCTTCGTTTATTGCGGTTTTTCAAAATAGGATTGGACACGACACACAATTGGCTGAGTGATGGATGAGCCACACGATCAGCATGGAATTTTATTTAAAATAAATTATTTTAAATTATTTAGCATCTGTGTGCATCTCCTCCTCCTTCATCCTCTGTCGATCTCCGTTCTGCAGTGGAGAAGTGGCGTGGCCGAGAGCGCAGAGAGCTGAGTTCATGACACGCTGTGCTCTTTTAGTGTGTTTAGAGTTTAGAAAAGGCTGAAGAAGCAGTCCTATCGGGCCTTTTTGTCCACCATCCAGCATCTCGGTGGGGGGGGGGGGGCATACACCACCAACACACGCCAGTGGAGGTGGTGTGCTGCTGACCTCAACTCGGGATGTCGTGGGTAGGTGGGTGGAGTACTTCGAAGACCTCCTCAATCCCACCAGCGCGTCTTCCACTGAGGAAGCGGAGCCTGGGGACTTTGGGTTGGGCTCGCCGATCTCTGGTGCTGAGGTCACTGAAGTAGTTAAAAAGCTCCTCGGTGGCAGGGCCCCAGGGGTGGATGAGATTTGTCCATATTCCTTAAGGCTCTGGATGTTGTGGGGTTGGGTTGGCTTACATGACTCTGCAATATTGCATGGACATCAGGGGCAGTTCCCCTGGATTGGCAGACCAGGGTGGTGGTCCCCCTATTCAAAAAGGGGGACTGTAGAGTGTGTTCCAACTACAGGAGGATCACGTTCTTAAGTCTCCCTGGTAAGGTCTATTCAGGGGTTCTGGAGAGGAGGTTGTGTCGGATATTCGAACCTCAGATTCAGGAAGAGCAGTGTGGTTTTCATCCTGGTTGTGGAACACTGGACCAGCTCTACACCCTCAGTAGGGTCCTTTGTGCTTATTTGACACAGGAACAGAGTTAACAAGAAGTTGTGATGAGATTGTTGTGATTACCCAACCAGTCTACATGTGCTTTGTGGACTTGGAGAAGGTGTTCGACCGCGTCCCTCGGGGAACCCTGTGGGGGGTACTCAAGGAGTATGGGATACGGGCTGTAATATGGACTGTTAGGTCCCTGTACGACCGGTGTCAGAGCCTGGTCTGCATTGGCAGAAGTAAGTCGGGCTCGTTCCTCGTGAGAGTTGGACTCCACCAAGGTTGCACTTCATCACCGATTCTGTTCATAACTTTTATGGACAGAATTTCTAGGCGCAGCCAAGGTGTTGAGGGGATCCGCATTGGTGGCCTTAGGATTGTGTCTCTGTTTTTTGCAGATGATGTGGTCCTGTTGGCTTCATCAGAACGTGATCTACAGCTTTTGCTGGAACGGTTTGCAGCCGAGTGTGACACGGCCGGGATGAGGATCAGTTCCTCCAAATCCGAGGCCATGGTCTTGAGCCGGAAAAGGGTAGAGTGCCCTCTCCGGATCGGGGAGGTGGTCCTGCCCCAAGTGGAGGAGTTCAAGTATCTCGAGGTCTTGTTCACGAATGAGGGAAAAATGGAGCGTGAGATCAATAGGCGGATAGATGCAGCGTCTGCAGTGAAGCGGGCGCTGTACCGGTCTGTCGTGGTGAAGAGAGAGCTGAGTCAAAAGGCGAAGCTCTCAGTTTACCAGTCGATCTCCGTTCCTACCCTCATTCATTCAACCTTTATTTATACAGGCTAGCCTCATTGAGCCACGGGGACTCATTTGCAAAAGAGACCAAGAGAGACCGTCATCTATGGTCATGAACTTTGGGTTGTGACCGAAAGAACAAGATCTCAGATACAAGCGGCCGAAATGAGTTTTCTCTTCAGGGTATCTGGGCTCTCCCTTAGAGACAGGGTGAGAAGCGCAATCATCCGGGAGGGACTCAGAGTAGAGCCGCTGCTTCTCAACATCGAGAGGAGCCGGTTGAGGTGGCTTGGTCATCTAGTTAGGATGCCTCCTGGACGCCTCCCTGGTGAGGCGTTCCGGACACGTCCCACCAGGAGGAGACCCAGAGGAAGACCCAGGACACGCTGGAGGGACTATGTTTCTTGGCTGGCCTGGAAACACCTTGGGATTCCCCCGGAGGAGCTGGACCAAGTGGCTGGGGAGAGGGAAGTCTGGGCCTCCCTACTTAGGCTGCTACTCCCACGACCCGACC